GGAATTAGACACACAGTTTTTTTTTTATCACGATTTATAATAATTTAGTTAATAGAAATCATGAAGTTACAAGATGAGTATTGAAAATTCAAATTATTGAATTGAATTTCAAAACACAAATCCATGATTAAAAGTATAATTAATATCCAATGAATTCAAGAATTATAGCAAAAGAGGTTCCCTACTAATCCTAAAACTCCAAACTGACATAATATAATAAATAAAACCTAAGAAAAGTATTCATAGACATCTAAACCCAAGCCAAACAAAACTGAAAAAAATAGGATTCAACAACTTGTACGACTCAATTGTATGGACCGTAGTCCATTGTAAGGTCCGTGGAGTCCTCTTATGGAAGACAATGTTTAATCAATCTCTAGGAACTCTTCTACGGTTGTAAGTTACGATCCGTAGACCAACGTACAACCTGTCCTATAAAATCATGGTTTAAGTCCTCTATCTTCAATTGTTTGAATGAAATCTACGAACCTCCCATGTACAGCTCGTAGAAACTTCTATGAATAGTAATGTTGTTTCGTGGTCTGGGAGTTCCACTTCTTCAAATATGTTCATCTATGACCATAGTTGTATGAATCGTCAACCAAAGTACAACTCGTACTAGTTGTTCATGGACCTCAAATTGGTCTTTAACATTTCAGGTCATTCATCGACGAGTCCATCTACGGGTCGTGGGTAGGACCATGACTCGTAGTCTGGCTCATAGATGGTCTAAATACTCTTGTCAACCCTGTATGATCTGACTCAACTGCCAAAACCTATTTCTCTGCTAACGAAAGACAAAACACAATCAAGTCACTACCAAACGCTTATTCGACTAAAAAAAATCCTAAGTTTAAAGCATTACAAGTACCATAAATCATTGGTACATCAACACCCTCAAATTAAAATTGATGTTTGCATGTCCTCAAGCGACATAACTTTCACAGAACGACACTTTGCAAAAGAAGATCAAGAACCTACGAGAATCACATGGTCATTTACAATCATAACACCCTCCGTTCTCATTCAAAACCCAATGCATCAATAGTTTCTTACCAAGTTAATTAGCTTGGTAAGAAACTATTGATGCATTGGGTTTTGAATGAGAACGACCACAACAATAGCCTGGATATCTTTTCCATCCCTTCCTCCAAACTTTTTTGGCAAGTAACACATGCGGATCAATACATAACATCACTAGACCAATAGAATGTTACATACACAAACAACAATCACCAAAACAACAATTATTTACAGTACTAGTTGTGACCTTACCACGAAGAAGTCCCTTTTTCACACACATATAAAAAATTTCTCAAGAATGGGGACTAGGTAGACACTCACTTTCACAAAAGAGATTTGAACCATGTATACCCACTATCATAAGCTTGCCCTTATTTTCAATACTTAGACTCTAAACTGTTGAATTAAGATCAGTATAAGACATTTAGCTTGTAACCTAGGCTCAGAGACAAGTGTAACATATTTAGATTATATTGAATTTTTCCCTCGACATTGCCTTCACCTAACTCCAATTTTACAACCACTACTCATTTCACCCCTTATTCTTTCTTCCCCTTAATTTTGCTTCAATGTTCAGATGTGGCTTTTGCTCTTCTTTTCCTCTATATTATTTTTCTTATGTTCATCAATTTATTTTTCTTCTTTTTTCTTGTTCTTGTTCTTTATTTCTTTTGTGCAGGCACACCCAATTATTTCCCTTTTTCTCATTACACTATTCTTTTCATACCCCTTTCTTTTCTCATTTTCCTCTATCGTAGGCACCCTCAATTTAGGCATTTTGCCTGAGTTGTGGTGCACAATGTACAAGGAGGGACCAGGTCTAAAACCAAAAGTCAATAGTGAACGATGGGTAATGTGAATTGGGTAATAAAATAAAAAGGGTTTTAGGCTCAAAGATTTGTATCTAGGGATACAACTTTAATTTGGTTGGTTGCTTTTAGGCTAAGTGAAATATTTCCAATAAAGTCCTTTGACCCTTTCCTAATGAAAAGTTCAATCATCAAAGAAAAACTAATAGAGGAAGTTCTGAATTAGTATACATGGTAAGACTGAAATAATGGTCTCACACATGACATAATATTGCATTATCAATTATTAACATATCTGGTTGATGTTTTCGTAACACCACAGATTCGAAACAAGGCAAAACAAAAGTTATATGGAAATACAGGTGCCATCCATGCCCGGCCACCCATGGCCCGTGGATTGACCCATGGACCATAGGTAGGGTATGTGGTTGGTCACCCCAGCCTGGATTCCAACCTTAGAACCACGGTCCGTGGTCCAAGGTTCGTAGGTCGAGGTCTAGAAATCAGGTCTCTGACCACCAAATAGTGAACGTGAAAGACGGTCAATCATCCTGAGGACGGTCCATCGGTCGGGAGTTCGTAGGTCCTCGATTGGCAATTCATTTTAGGGACTTAAGGGTCTTTTTTGGTTTTAATTAAATTGAAGTGGTGTCATTTATCCAAAGCCTAGGACACCTATATAAGTATTTTTAACCCCCAAAATCCCTATTCAAGTCATTCTCTCAAATCCCAAAAGAATTCCCAAAACTTTTCTCTCAAATATTCTCTCTCCAGAAGGAAGATATTGGAGCTAGGTATAGATCAAGTCTCGCAATCTTCAAGCTTTTGTGGGATTTGTAACTAAGGTATGATGGCTTTTTATCCATGAGATCCTTTCTCCCATGAAGTCCCCTAGAATTCCATAATTGTAAAGTCTGAATCCCCAATTCTAGTTAGGGTTTCCTCCAATGTTGTGAGTTATGATGAATGTTGATCCAATTGAGTGGATTATGATTGTGTATGATTAAATTGATAGGATTACATATTTTTTGGATAAAATTATATGTACTCATGCCTATTCCATGATTCTAACCTAGAATTGATATAATTGGGTTGATGCCATGAAGGGAAACTTTATGGGCTAGATATATCCTTATAGGATATATGATTTATGCGTAGAATTTCTTGAGATTGAAGCATAAATGATGGTCATAAGATATAGTGCTTTGAGAGTAAAGCCTAGACTATGAATTGTTAATTGTTGATTGTTGATGATGTAGTGTGGAAGGGATACATCCCACAATGAATTGCTAGCATAATTGTATGAATGTGAAAGGTTTACTCACATGAATGATTCTAGGTTGAAGGGATTGCTCACCTAAAATGAATCTAGACTAAAATACTAAATAATTGATGAGGCTAGAGGCCACTACCCTTGACCTCCATATGGGAAGGATATGTGGTGATTTCCCATATTCCTTATAATTGAACAAGAGGTGATTCCCCACGTTCCTATTATGATGAATGGACATGGAGGCGAGTACCCATGATTCTTATGAAATGATGTGGAGGCGATTACTCATGATCCGAATGTAAGTAAGGCAAGAGACGAATACCCATTAGCATTTGTAAGTTAGGAAAAGAGGTGAATACCCATGTTTTTAAAAGTAAGTATGAATAATGTGATTATGTTATGAAGATGATTAGCTTGGAGTGTTGCTTGAGATGCCTTCCATGATGTAAGCATGACTAGAGGCGGATGACCCAAGTCTTGAGTAAGGATATGTTGAGGTTGTTGAGAAGTATTCCTCTTTTACTATGTTGAATTATACGCGTTGATTACGCTTGTGGTTATATTGACTAACCCTTATGTTTATGTGGTTTATGCTAGCTATCATATTTTAGTACATGTTTCTACTAACACATACTCTTGCCTACATTTCTTATCAAAATGTAGGGTCCGGTTGCATTGATTCTCACATTCGTGGCTAGGTTCATAGTTCATCAAGAAGTGAAGATTTGGTGAGTAATCATAGCATTTGAGGATGTGATCACCACTTTACCTTATGTATTTCTTTTATGTTTTGGAATGTTGTATTTTCCCAAGATTTATTAATGTTGGTTAGTTGGCTTGAGACAATTGTATTAGACTTCCACTCGTTTTATAAAGACTTTGATTGTATTGAAATGTTTTAAATTTCCGTACCATTTTCTATTACTTTATGTTATAATATGCTAAGTGGATTGTATGAGGCCTATCGGGGTCTTGTACGCCTTATTACATATCGTGAAAAACTTGGTAATCAGAGCACAAGGTTTAGAATGGTTCTAGGATGTCTCAAGCCACGTCTCGTAGAGTCTTGTTCATAAGTGTGAAGCGGCCACATTTATGAAATAAAGGCTATTAGATGTTTAGGAAATCTCACTTCTTCATTTCTCTAAGTCTTGCCATGGAGTTTAACTCTATAAGGTCTTTCTCTAAGTCCTTACCCGATGGTTTTTAGGATATGACTACTAGAAGGGCTAATGCTAGAAGGAATGAGGGAGACAATGTGTGTCAAGAAGTTCCTCCACAAGATCCTCCTCAAGCTCTGATTGATCCTTTGACTGATAATGTGACAAATGCAGAGTTTAGGTCGGCTTTTCAAGTGTTGGCTCAAGCTGTGATGGCCCAAGTCAATAGAGAGGTGGTAGTCCCCGTGAACCGAAATATGGTTACGATGGCGTCAAGAGTGAGGGACTTTACAAGGATGAACCCTCTGGAATATTTTGGCTCCAAAGTTGAGGAAGATCCTCAAGAGTTCATTGATGAGGTCTATAAGAGACTTGCTATTATGGGAGTGACTCTGGTAGAGAAGTCAGAGTTGTCCTCTTATCAACTTAAAGGGGTTGCTCAGATTTGATTCACTCAATGGAAGGAGGCAAGGCCAGAAGGATCGGGTCCCATAGAATGGGAAAAGTTCAAAAGTGCTTTTCTTGATCGATTATTCCCACTTGAGATGAAAGAGGCCAAACTGCTTGAGTTCATTAACATTAGGCAGGGAAATATGAATGTGAGGGAGTATGCCTTGAGGTTCACTCAATTGTCCAAATATGCTCCTTCTATGGTATCGGATCGTAAGATTAGTAGGTTTGTATCGGGTGTGTCCAACATGGTAGTCAAAGAGTACCGCACCACTATGCTTGTCCATGACATGGACATTTGTGCCTCGTGGTGCATGCCCAAAAAATGGAAGAGGAAAAATCAAGGAAAGATCTAGGGAGGCAAAGAGGGCAAGAGTGGATGATGGCAACTTTTCATATTCTATGTCCGGTAGACGAGGTCATTCAAGTTTCCGACAAAAGTCCTCCGGGAAAGGTTCTACAAATGCTCCTCCAAAGTCTAGTAATGAAAAGGTGTCTAACCCTAAACCTCAAGGATATGGTAGTAGGTCTTTAATGCCTACTTGTGCTAAATGCGGAAGAAATCATGAAGGGAAGTGTCTAGCAGGTTCTAATGCTTGCTTTGGGTATGGTAAAATGGATCATAAAATAAAGAATTTCCCTTCGGTTTCTAGAAATGAAGGAGACACTCGTCGTAGGGCTCAACACTACCCTTCATCCGGTCCAAGTGGTTCGGGTGTAAATGCTCCCAAGCAAAATCGATTATATACACTCCAGACTAGAGGTGATCAAGATATTTCCCTGGATGTGGTGACCGGTATGCTAAAAGTTTTTCAACTTGATGTGTATGCTTTACTTGATCCCAGTGCTACTTTTTCCTTTATGACCCTTATGTGCCTATGAGGTTTGATGTGCTCCCCGATGTGTTGTTAGAACCTTTTTCTGTCTCTACCCATGTTGGTTATTCTGTGGTAGCTAAGAGGGTTTATAGAATATGTCCCGTTTCCTTATCTTATAGAGTTACTCTTGTTGACTTGGTAGAGCTTGAAATCCTAGATTTTGATTTCATCCATGGTATGGATTGGTTGCATTCTTGTTATGCCTCTATTGATTGTAGGACTCGTGTAGTCAAGTTTCAATTTCCAAATGAGCCTATCCTAGAGTGGAAGGGGGGAAATTCGATGCCTAGAGGTCAATTTGTTGCTTGCCTTAAGGCTAGGAAAATGATTTCTAAGGGTTGTACCTACCATATAGTTAGGGTGAGGGATGTGAATTCCAAAATCCCTATTCTTGAGTCGGTCCCCGTTGTAAATGAGTTTCAGAAAGTGTTCCCTGATGATCTACCCGGTATTCCTCCTGAAAGGGAAATAGACTTTAGAATTGACCTTCTCCAAGATACACAACCTATCTCTATTCCTCCTTATAGAATGGCTCCAGTGTAACTTATGGAGTTGAAAGATCTGTTGAGGGATTTGTTGGATAAGGCTTTCATTCGACCTAGTATTTCGTCATGGCGTACTCCAGTTTTGTTTGTACGGAAGAAAGATGGTTCCCTTCGTATGTGTATCGATTATTGACAATTGAACAAGGTGGCTATTAATAATAAGTATCCTTTTCCGAGAATAGATGATCTGTTTGACCAACTTCAAGGGGCAATTTATTTCTCCAAGATTGATCTCCGGTCGGGTTATCACCAATTGAGGGTGAAAGAAGAAGATATTTCTAAAACGACTTTTAGAACCCGATATGCTCATTACGAGGTTTTGGTGATGTCCTTTGGTTTGACTAATGCCCCAATGGCATTTATGGATTTGATAAATAGGGTGTTTAGACAATACCTTGATATATTTGTAATTGTGTTCATAGATGATATTTTGATTTACTCAAGGAGCAATAATGAGCATATTGATCATTTGAGAATCGTATTGTAAATCCTCAAGGACCAACAACTTTTTGCTAAGTTAAGCAAATGTGAATTCGGTTAAGGTCCGTAGCTTTATTAGGCCATATTGTTTCAAGCAAGGGTATTGAGGTGGATCCGATTAAGACGGATGTGGTCAAGAGTTGGCCTAGACCTCTATCACCGATTGATATTAAAAGTTTCTTGAGTTTGGCAGGTTATTATAGATGTTTCGTTGAGGGGTTTTCTATGATTGCCTCTCCATTGACGGCTTTGACTCAAAAGAAGGCCAAGTTCATATGGTCGGATGCTTGTGAGAAAAGTTTCAAAGAGTTGAAAGATAGACTTACTTCCGCTCCGGTGTTGACTTTATTGGAAGGTACGAACGAATTTATGGTATGTTGTGACGCCTTTAGAGTTGGGTTGGAATGTGTGCTTATGCAAAATGGTAAGATGATTGCCTGTGCTTCAAGGCAACTTAAAGTTTATGAAAAAAACTATCTTACCCACGACCTTGAATTAGCGGCGGTGGTATTTGCCTTAAAGATTTGGAGGCATTATTTATTTGGGGTTCATGTTGATGTTTTCACCGACCATAAGAGTTTACAATATATGTTTACCTAAAAGGACTTGAATATTCACCAAAGAAGGTGGCTCAAATTATTAAAGGACTATGATATGAGTGTCCTATATCACCCCGATAAGGCGAAGGTAGTAGTGGATGCTCTTAGTCGACTATCGAGATGTCCATAGATTGGCCCGATTGGGTGTTCGATTGGTAGACTCCGCCAAGGGTGGTGTCATGGCTCATAAAGGGTCAGAATCATCTTTTGTGGTAGATGTTAAAAGCAAAGTAATGTCTTGATCCGACTTTGGTAGAATTTCAAGAAACGGTACTTAGAAAGTTTGTTGAGGCTTTCTCTCAAGGAGGATATGGTGTCCTTAGATATCAAGGTTGGTTATTTGTTCCTAATGTTAAAGACTTAAGGGAATAGACTCTGTCAGAAGCCCATATTTCTCGATATTCTATTCACACGGGAGCCACCAAGATGTACCGTGACTTGCAGGAGATCTATTGGTGGAATGGGATGAAGAAGGATATTGTAGGATTTGTGGCCAAATGACCAAATTGCCAACAAGTGAAGGTTGAGCATTAGAAACTGGGAGGTTTATCCCAAGATATTAGCATTCCTACCTGGAAGTTGGAAGATTTGAATATGGACTTCATAGTAGGGTTGCCACGTACTCGGCGACAATATGATTCGATTTGGGTTATAGTTGATCGAATGACGAAGTCGGCCCATTTCATTCCTGTCTATTTTTGTTATTCGGTGGAAGATTATGCTAAGTTGTATTTGAGGGAGATGGTGAGATTGCACGGAGTTCCCTTGTCAATTATCTCTGATAGAGGTACTCAGTTTTGGAGGTCTTTCCGAAATGGTCTTGGCACTAAGGTTAAGCTTAGAACAACGTTTCATCCACAAACTGATAGGCAAGCGAAACGAACAATCCAAACATTGGAAGACATGTTAAGGGCTTGCGTTATTGATTTCAAGGAAAATTGGGAAGACCATTTGCCTTTGATTGAACTTGCCTATAATAATATCTATCATTCTAGTATTGGTATGGCTCCATTTGAAGCTCTTTATGGTAGGAGCTGTAGATCTCCTATAGGATGGTTTGAGGTGGGTGAGGTTGCTTTGATAGGACCCGAGTTAGTTCATGAGGCTATTGAGAAAGTTTGACTCATTAGAGAGAGGTTGAGAACAACCCAAAGTCGACAAAATTCTTATGTCGATGTTAGAAGGAGAGACCTTTAATTTAATGTGCTTGATTGGGTTGACTTGAAAATCTCACCCATGAAGGGTGTAATGAGGTTTGGTAAGAAACGAAAACTTAGTCCCTGTTTTGTAGGCCCATATCAAATTTTGAGACGTGTTGGTAAGGTTGCATATGAGCTTGATTTGCCAAATGAGTTGGCATCGGTGCATCCGGTTTTCCATGTCTCTATGTTGAAATAGTGTGTTGGAGACCCGACATCCATAGTCCCCCTAGAAGGGTTGGGAGTGAAAGAGAACCTTTCTTATGAAAAAGTTCCGGTTGAGATTCTAGACCGGCAATTTAAGAAATTGAGAAACAAAGAGGTTGCTTCCATGAAAGTGTTATGGAGAAACCATCTTGTTGAGGGTGCTACTTGGGAGGCCAAAGCCGATATGATGTCCCAGTATCCTTATCTTTTTCCTCATATTCTAGCTTGAGGTAATGAGTTCCTCTTGGTTTGCTCTTGTTTGAAGTCATGTGTGTATTATTTGTTTCCATGATTTCCTTAAAATGCATGTTCATGAAAAAGCTTAAGTTTTGAAAGAAAAAAGCTTTTATGACTTATTTTCCTCATGTTGTTGTGTATTGTGTATGAGTTGCTTATGGACTTCATGAGATGGATTGTTGAACATGCCTTAGCTTGGAGTGGAGATTTCCTCCTTGAGTATGTGTTTTGGGTATAAATTGCATATACGCTCCATGAGATTGTGTTGAGCATGCTTTTAAGTTTGGAGATGGTAGTTCCCCCTTGAATGTGAGAAATCTGGAAATTGCATGCATATTGGGTTGTTAGATGTAGTTCCTACTCCCTTATGGTGCATTGAGTATTTTTATCCTGGAGTTGATGTTTCCTCCTCGGTTGTGTGCATTTTGATGAGCTGCATGCATGATGGCCTGCTGTCATGACCCAAGCCTAGGGCCTAGACGTGACCGGCGAATGGGGAACCCAAAGGAACCCCAAACAAGTCTCATAGCGTATCATTACACATCCTTAGTCGCGGAAGCAATTAAAATGACCATAAGCAATAAGCATAATCAAAGGGGGAAATCGGGACTAAGGGAGCAAGAGAAAAAAAAAAGAAATGATACATAAATACCATAGATGAGTCAAGCTCAAGCATAATACACAACTTGTCCAACACCACCTCTAAACATGAGTACTTAGCGGGAGCCAAGACAAACTACCGGGCTCACCCTCATAGTCAAAACATAACTAAAAAGAAAAGTCTTATACATAGCAAAATATCATGAGCAACGTCCCCGGAATGGAGGACTCACCAATAACATTGATAGGAAATCGTATTAGCCACGCGGAGGAGGATGGTCAAGCGCTGATCCGGTCCCTACATGGTGACATCATGTAGGCATAGAGTATGCGTTAGTACGTTTGAATGTACTAAGTATATGAGATGAAATGCAATGCTACAATAGATAGACATCATAGGAAAAATGCATAATCATACCCGATAGATAGCATATTAAAGAAATGATATGTATAATGATGCTTACATAAAAATCATATTTAGTGGGACGTAGTACATGTGTGGTGAGTAACCATCAATATAGTATTTTCCAAGGCCTACCACCACCTTGGAGAGGCAAAAGAGGTACAAACCCCTCGATGTGGTTATATGGGCCTACTACCCCCCGTACTAGGCAACCAAGGTACCAACCCCTTGATACGGTTACCCGGGCCTACAACCCCCCGAGCTAGGCTTGGTCTATTCACAACACTTATATAGAGAAAATCATATACATGTATCCATTTCATCATCATTTCAATGATTATATGACCATCCGACTCATAGGACGTACATTGGACATTCCATTTCCTAGGAATTCTATCAATGGCATTTTATCAAACACATGGTGGGCTATTGTTCATGTAGATAAAATTATGTCTTTCAAGAGTACTAAGTCCAACCAATTCCGAAATACATATAAATCAGCCCACCAACAACATATATATATATATCAACCTTCATAATTTGATCATGGAAGCATGAAAACCATAAACATCACATAATAATTCCATTTCATGATAATATGCAAAAATAGACCATAATAGAATGTGTAGTAGTAATTCCATAATTCAAGAGTTCATAAATGATCATAAGGACCCATAAACTTGAAGTAAAATAGAGGATAAATGGTTGGACTTGTGGAAAGGAAGGTTTCCACA